ATTTGGCGCCTTGCTCTTGCCCCCTTCCCTGCCCCAGAGTAGCACCCCCAAACACAGCACAGCCACAGCCTCCCTGGCCCTGGAGCTCCTGAGAACCAGCAGCTGGGCAGCCAACACTGACTTCCCCAGGAATGAAGATGGCTCCTTCATTAGGAAAGCAGGATAAGGGACCTGTGGAAGGTAAGGAGGTGGGGTGGGTTCTTGAGTGGCATAAGGGATACGGCGTTCACCTGGGGAGCACATTTGGAAAGCAGGATAAGGGACCCTCTGAAGGAACAGAGGTGAGGTGTGTTCTTCAGTGGCTTAGGGGATAGAGCTTGAATGGAGTGGGGCCTGACACTGGTCATTGGGTCATACTTCTGGGGCATGGTGAACTCTTTGAGAGGTGGCCTCCCCAGAGCTCCAGAGAGCTGGCCAGCAGGCCTGCACCCCCAGCCAGCAAGGTCCTCCCTGCAGCCGAACCCCCCTAGCCCCAGGAAGGCAGGGGATGCAGCCCCCAGCTTGCCTGTCCTAGCTTCTGGTATCACAGCAGCACGCTGGTGGGGAGGGTCTGGGGGACTCCAGTGGAGAGTGGGTGAGGCAGTTTGGTCAGGCACGCCTTCCCTTGCCTAGGATACCCACCACCCATGGGCTGGTGATCTGTGATGCAGGCAGGGCTCTGACTACGGGGGGGGGGGGTTTGTCAGAAGCCGTTTTGGAAGCCAGAGGCTCTGTTCCGAAAGCAGAGCAGGGCAGACTGAATTCAGAGTGTCTCAGAGCTGCCCGTCTCGCCCCATGGGTTAGGCTGGTGGTTCAGCGTTAGGGACCAAGGTACTGCTTAACTAGGCTCACTAAATGGAACACCTGGAGATGGATCGCGGCAGAGGCAATCTTTGGTTTTGCGTAGACAAGGCTTAAGAAACCAAGCATTCCAAAGTCAAGAAATCCAAAGCTTGGGAGTTAGTTTTTGCCTTCAAAGATGGTCTCACTTTATACATTTATAAAATACGTGCTACGTAAAACTACAATACAAAAATGCAACATACCATTTTTATTGTACACACAGCAAGTGACCACTCAGGATATAGAGTCAGGCAGATTTTTACATCAACACGAGATCTACAAAATCTGCTAATTTTTGAAGCAAATCAATTGTTTTTGCAACTTAGACGATAAGAACATAAGAATGGCCATACTGGGTCAGATGAAAGGTCCATCTAGCCCAGTAGCCTGCCTGCCGACAGTGGCCAGCACCAGGTGCCCCAGAGAGGGTGGACCGAAGACAATGATCAAGCAATTTGTCTCTTGCCATCTTTCCCCAGCCTCTGACAAACAGAGGCCAGGGACACCATTTTTATCCCCTGGCTAATAGCCTTTTATGGACCTAACCTCCATGAAATTAAACTAGATACTTAGAGCTAAGGTTTTGTCTTTACTAAAATGAAAATACGAAAAAGAAAATTCAAATTAATGTGTTTGGATGTGTTAACTTCTTAGGTGAAAGAGACAAGCTTTAGAGCAAGATCTTTTCAAAGAAGAAGAGTTTCCAAAGTTGGCCTGGTAAAGGGTATTACCTCACCTAGGATCTTACAGCATTCAATGACCAGAGGACATAAAAAGGCAGCCACAAAATATATGTGCTGGGTGATACTTTTCACCTCTTTGTGGAAATTCCCTGGCTTCCCACTCCATAGCAACAGTGGGATTTCGATCTCCTACCACCTTTCCCCATTGGTTACTCTGAATTATGCTAGGATAGGAACTGACTGAATAAACATTTTCCTCTCTATTATTTTCTTCACAGCACATTTCACCTCCTTGTTCCTCAGGCTGTAGATGAGGGGGTTCAGCATGGGGATCAATATCGTGTAGAACACGGAGGCCATTTTGTCCGTGTCCATGGAATAGCTGGAGGTGGGTCGGAAATACATGAAAAGAATCGTCCCATGGTACATGGCCACAGCGGTCAGGTGGGAGGTGCAGGTGGAGAAGGCTTTGCGCCTGCCCTCTGCCGAGCGGATCCTCAGCACGGTGAGGATGATGAGCCCGTACGAGAAGATGATGATCAGAACAGTGCTCATTTCGAACAAACTGCCAAAGATGAAAACCAGGACCACGTTCACATGGACGTTACTGCAGGAAAGCTTCAGGAGAGGGGTGAGGTCGCAGAAAAAGTGGTTGACAACATGGGAGTCACAAAAGGATAACCTCAACAAGCCAATTGTGTGGATCAAAGAGTTCACCATGCCCCAGAAGTATGACCCAATGACCAGTGTCAGGCAGACTTTCCTGGTCATCGTGACCGTGTAGAGCAGTGGATTACATATGGCCACATAACGGTCATACGCCATGGCAACTAGGAGGAACATCTCGGTGGTGGCAAATATAGCGAAGAAGCCATATTGCATCATGCATCCATTATAAGAAATGGCTTTGGTCTTCTCTAAGAAATTGGCCAGCATCTTAGGAGCCACAGTGGAGGAGTAGCAGGCATCGAGGAAGGACAGGTTGCTGAGGAAGAAGTACATGGGCGTGTGGAGATGGGAGTTGATCTGGATTACCAAGATCATCCCTAAATTCCCCAGCAGGGTGATAACATAGATGAGCAGAAACATGACAAAAAGCGGGAGCTGCAGCTCTGGCCGATCTGTTAGTCCGACAAGAAAGAACTGAGTCACCATGGTATGATTGCTGCCAGCCATTGTCTTAGCTTCACCCTTAGCTACAGGGGTAATAAAATAGGATTATTTGTTTAGCATTGCAACCAGGGCCTGATGGTGCTAGGTGCTGTACAAATACAGAACAAAAGGATGCTCTCTGTCCTGAAGAGCTCACCATGTATTTCTACAACATCAGACAACAGATGTTTACAGGAAGATAGATCAGGTGAGACCAGGCAAGCAAAGAAATTCTGTGGATCTGCATGATCGGTGGTGGGCATAGAATGTCACCTAATTCTATTACAACCCATGTTGGTCTACATAGTACCACCGGCTGGTGGACAACTCCCATCAGCTGGTTACTTCCCTCTGGGTGTTGTCACCGATTCCAAAGCCTCCTTATCTAGGTATCAGCTGCACAGTGTTTCCCGGCATGCGTTAAAGCAAAAAAATAAAGATTAAAATTGGTGTTCTGTCCTCCAGGATCCAAACAGCAGCTGTACACAAGTTTGTTGTCTGTCAACTGCTGCAAAGTCCTAGGAAAGAGCGAGAGAGAGAGAGAGAGAGAGAGAGAGAGCGAGAGAGAGAGATTGAACTTGCTGTCAAACCCCAGACAGCTTCATCAGCTGTTTCTAAATCACTTTCAGTCTCCCAGGTGTCAACTCACAGGGCCATGGACAAACAGGATTATGGATTCACTTCAACACAGAGTCGATTGGGGTAGTCTATTTTATTAGTCAGCAAGCACTACAGAGCAATGAATATACGAGTAAAAGGCACTTGGAATGCTTATGTCCCTTCTACTGTGGAGAGACCCATCCCTGGTCCTCACTTCAAGGGCTGCGGTCAACATGGCTCCAGCTGGGGCAATCCAGGGCACCCTGCGAGGTCTAGGTCCCTGGTGAAACTCACCAGGCACGGGACTCCCCACACTAGTTATAAAACAGTTGTTTACAGGGTGTGCACGTACTGGCCCCACGCCACTCTTAACCTTCTCATGAAATTGAAATCAAGGTCAATGTGATTTTTTCCTCATTGCATTCCCCACTCAACTGCATGAGCTGCAGCCGATAAAGGCTACCTGGTGTTTCAGGTTCCAGGGCTGAGACATAGGGCTGGGAATTTCCATCTTCAGCTCTCGGACCTGTGGGGCAACTTACAGCTTACACTACACCAGGCACTGGCCATCTGGCTAGGGAACACAGCCCCCTCATTGAGTTGAGGCTAAAGGGATGAATGAATTTGTAAAAGAGCTCATAGACTCACATTGTTCTCTCTGCTTTCTTTTTATTCACAACGAGTTGTACTTTAGGAAAAAACCCTTTTATATACAATGGAGTCATTCAGAAAGATCCTAGATCAGAAGATCCTCTAAGCATGTGCCTTGCTTTACACACACCCAAGAGTCCCAAATGGACGGGATCATCCGGGTGCTTAAAAAATGGGCACTCAGATCACAGTAAAATATCACTTACATGTAAGGAAGTGTGCCACAATGTAGCCCGTGAGTAGTAGTAATCATTTTTGTATTGTGCTCGCACCCACATCCCTACTTAAGGATCAGGACCCAGCTGTGCTAGGAGCTGAACAAACACAGAACAAAAGGACAACATGTTTATCCGCTAATACAGGAAAAGAGATAGCAGGTGGCTACAGCCAGAGACATGGGAGAAGAAAGCAACAATGAGGCATTAGTTGTCATTTTCAAAGGCTTAATTTTAGAGCAGGAAGATTATGTAGGTTAGACATAGTCACATTCATTTTTGATCATTTGGGGCCTAGAGTACTCACAGCCCATGGAAAAAATCACTCCACAAAAATATTTCCCTCATTTCACTAAAAAGAACATAAGAAAGACCAGACTGGGTCAGACCAAAGATCCATCTATCCCAGTGTCCCGTCTGCCGACAGTGACCAATACCAGATACCCCAGCGGGAATGAACAGAATAGAGAATCATCAAGAGGACCCATTTCCTGCCTCTGACAAACAGAAGCTAGGGACACCATTCCTACCAATCCTGGCTAATAACCATTGATGGACCTAACCTCCATTAATTTATCTAGTTTTTTTAAATGCTGTTAAAATCCTGGTTTTCACAACATCCTCTGGCGAGGAGTTCCACGGGTTGACTGTGTGCTGTGTAAAGAAAATTTTCTTTTTGTTTGTTTTATACCTGCTACCTATTCATTTCATTTTAGCCTAGCATGTAGCAAGTACTTACTTCAAACTTTTCAGATCACATTGACAATAATGACTTAAGTAGGGAGAACCTTCTTTCTTCCAAGCTGGTGTAATTCTGCACTGCACGCACAGAGAACACCAGGTAGGATTCTGGACCTAAGTATATTCTCCTGAAGAAAATAGAGTATTTATCTCATTATTTGTCCCGGTTTGGTCCCTCCTACATCCTGTCCGATTGTTTTTCACCTGAATAATGTTTGTTAAACAGAGAACGCATTGTCATCAACACAGACATTGTTCATAGAGATGTGTTTATTTTGGTGGAGTTTTCAGCCCAAAGTTTTCTGAGTTTTAGGCTGCATTTTCTGGTCAATTCCAGAGAGAGGAGAGAGAGAAAGAGAGAGGGAAGAGAATGGAAAACCTGTCCTTGTTGATTATCAAATGGACTTTTTAATATAATTTTATTTTGTGGAGCCTTTTGGAAGGTTTCATTTTCATTCCAATGAGGAATGGAGACAAATTTTGAAACCTTCAAGGTTGTCATGAAACAGAATCTACATTCCCTGGCTGTCTCTAATCTAGGAACCCAACCTGCAGGAAAGAAGCAACAAACTTACCGAACGACTCCACACTGAAGGAACGGTAGGATGTGAAAGGCCTTGTATGTATATAGCAGTGCTTGGCTTAGATCTGTGTATCAAGGCAAGTCACCTGAAATCTCCACATTTCCTCTTCTACTCCCAAACAGCCTCAAACTAAGCAATTCCGATTCCCACCCTAGATCTTTGTTCTGGCTGCAGAATAATTGTTCTCAGAGGAATTATGCTGGGAGAAAAAGAAATAGAAGACTCTTTTCCTAAAGACCCAACTGGGAGAACTCTCACCATGGTGATATAGCCTCATCCAGGGGTAGGAAATAAATTTTGATGGGGGCCACTCCTAGATTTTGGTAAGAAGTCAAGGGCTGTACTTTTCTATGGAAGGGATATAGGGTCTGGGATGGAGGTTAGGTGCAGAAGGGAGTTCATAGTAGGGGACTGAGGTCCAGGAGAGTCTCTGGGGTCTGAGAGAGAGCTTGGGTGAAGGAGGGAGTTGTAGCTTGGGGTGCGGAGTCTGGGAGGGACTATGGGTTCAGGAGAGAGTTCTGGCTGGGGGAGGGATGTAGGAGCAGGTGCAGAGTCTGGGAGGGAGTTGTGACCTGGAGCAGGGGGGAGAAGCGTGCAGAGGGTTTGGGGAGTGACCTGGAGCAGAAGTTTTGGGGGCAGGGTCTGGGAGGGGTGCAGGAGAGGATTCTACTCTGGAGGAGAGACAAAGGAAGTGGTACAGGGTCTGGGAGGGGTGCAGGAGAGGATTCTACTCTGGAGGAGAGACAAAGGAAGTGGTACAGGGTCTGGGAGGGGTGCAGGAGAGGATTCTACTCTGGAGGAGAGACAAAGGAAGTGGTACAGGGTCTGGGAGGGGTGCAGGAGAGGATTCTACTCTGGAGGAGAGACAAAGGAAGTGGTACAGGGTCTGGGAGGGGTGCAGGAGAGGATTCTACTCTGGAGGAGAGACAAAGGAAGTGGTACAGGGGAGGCTTCATCCGCTGCCCCTGCCCCCAGCAAAATCTTTCAGTGCCTGATGGCTAGAAACCGGTCAAAGAGAGCTAAGAAATTGTGCTGCACTATCCCCGCCCCCAGCAAAATCTCTCAGCTCCCATTGGTTGATTTCTGGCCAATAGGAACTGAGAGATTTTGTTGAGGGCCAGGACAATGTGCAAAGCCCACAGGCCATATCTTGCTCACTCCCCGACTTAACACATGTCTCGCTCAAGTCTTTTGTGACCACAAACTGGAACTACAGGCCTTGTGTGCCACCTCTCCTGGGTCATGTGGCTTTGGGAGCTGTAATCAGGGAGAAGCCAAGCCACCATCCAACCAGAGAGCACCAGGCGGACTCAAGGCCACTGAGCCACAGATCATGCCAGGCATGCAGGACACTTGTGTTGCCATGACAAAGGGTAGGACTGTACCCACCCAGCCCTACCATCCACATAATTATTGCTTCCTCCCACCCGGCACTGGCTCATATTGTCTCCACATGACCCTGGTGCAGTCAAGCCTGAGTTGATAGCAGAGAATCTTGCAGAGCCTACCTGTATACACCTTGCTGCTCCGGCAGCTTCTAAAACACGGGACACTGAGAGCACTAGAAAGCTTACAGACTGTTTAAAGCTGTAGTGACCAACTTGCTAGGCCTAGCCACATGTGGCTATTTGGCGGGTTGAGTGTGGCTAGTTGGCTTCAGAACTGGTTGGACAACACGAGTTTAAAGGAAACTCACTTTATTCTTGTAAACTACAGCCAGGGGATGATATGATGGATTACCTGCCATGTATCACCACGCTGGTCTTTAGTATTATAATTTTAGCATAGCCAGTTATATGTGAGAGGTTTCAAAATCATATCCCTGCCCCAAATAGCTTACACTCTCAATATCACACAAGAGTCGGTACAACACAGCCACTCGTACCTCCATATTGCAAGAGACAAACAGAGGCAAAGGGAGATTAAACCCAGATATTTAGGCACCTAACTCCCTTTTATTTCAATGAAGGGATTTCAATTTCAACTGAAATACCTTAAACAAAATCTGGCCCTACGTGAATTGATCCAGGTCACAAAGAAAGACTGCAGTGGAAAAGAAATTTAAACAGAGACCCCCTCAAATCTTAGGCTAAATTCATAACCTCTGGACCATCCTTCCTTTCTTATGTGTATGTCTTTCTGTCTGTCTATCCAAGTACATAACTATCTATCTATTGATCCCCAGATAAAAACATGTATCTGTCTAGTGTCTACCTGCCTGTTCCCAAACATAACCATCTATCTATAAAAACACTTCTCCATACATACCTACCTTTATTAATATTATGGTGATTTTAGGTGGGAACTATGGGACCAGAGGTAAGAGCAGTGGAAAACAAAAATTATTATATTCCAAGCATCTCCTCTTTATATCATCTGCTGAATTAACCAATAGAGTTCAAAAAGTAGTGGAACGAACAGTGGAGATGCCTGTATTGCAGCTATCACATACCAGTACCTAAGGGAAAAGCTGGAAGACTGTCATGGGACATTGTCTTTTAAAAAAAAATGCCACCTTCCTTCATTAGCTGGCTCAGGCTCTGTTTCCGTATTGTTTTCCCCTGTAAATTGCATGATAAATGACATTTCTGCACTTTGACTTAATGAGTCAGAACTTAGCTGATAATTGCACGCCAATATTGATCAGTAAAAAAAGCCATAATTACATAAAACGAGGAATAATTTTCTGGCGTATTGTCCTCCTCAGGGCGTCTTTCACCTCTTTGTTCCTCAGGCTGTAGATCAGGGGGTTCATCATGGGGATCACCAGAGTATAGAACACGGACACTGGTTTCTCCAAGTCTACTGAGCTGCTGGATGAGGGTAGCAAATAAATAAAGGTCAGCGTCCCGTATAACATGGAAACGACCGTCAAATGGGAGGCGCAGGTGGAGAAGGCCTTGTGCCTGCCTTCTGGGGAGCGCATCCTCAGGATGGCAAAGATGATGTACAGGTAGGAGACAAGGATGATGAGAATTGTGCCGATTGTTTCTACGGCCGCAAAGATAAAATGCACGAGCTTATGGATGTGAAGGTCAGAGCAGGAGATTTCTTGGAGCGGGCGGATGTCGCAGAAGAAGTGATCGAGGGCGTTGGAGGGGCCAAAGGACAGACTGAACACGGAACAAGTGTGCACCACGGCATTGACACAGGCGCAGAGGTACGCGCCCACCACTAGTTGGAGGCAGACTCTCCTGGACATGGTGACATGATAAAGCAACGGGTTGCAGATGGCCATGAAGCGATCGTAGGCCATCACGGCCAAGAGGCAAAGCTCGTTGTTGGCACAGAAGGAGAAAAGGAAAAACTGAACCACGCACCCAGGGAAAGAAATGCTGTTCCTCTTCGCTAAGGAAATGGCCATCGCCTTGGGGGCAATCACAGATGAGTAGACAACGTCTAAGAGCGACAAATTGCTGAGGAAAAAGTACATGGAGGTGTGGAGCTGGGAGTCAGCTCTAATCAGTACGATCATCCCGACATTCCCCACCAGGGTACAGACGTAAACGGCAAAGAAGAACACAAAGAGGAGGTTTTGCAGCTTTGGACTGTCTGTTATTCCCCGGAAAATGAAACCGGTCACTGTGGTACAGTTCCCTGGAGCCATTTATCCTGAGCAGAGAAGAGGCAGAGGGGATACAAGTAATGAGTACCACAAAAAGAAATCCAGTATACAGTGAAGATTTGTGTTATCTCTTAAGAAATGCCTGAACATAAGAACGGCCATACAGGGTCAGACCAAAGATCCATCTAGCCCAGTGTCCTGTCTGCTGACAGTGGCCAATACCAGGTGCCCTAGTGGGAGTGAACAAAACAGGAATCATCAAGCGATCCCTCTCCTGTCACCCATTTCCAGACTCTGACAAACAGAAGCTAGGGACACCATTCCTACCCATCCTGGCTAATAGCCATTGATGGACTTATCCTCCAGGAACTGATCTAGTTCTTTTTTGAACCCAGTTAAAGTTCTAGTCTTCACAACATCCTCTGGCAAGGAGTTCCACAGGTTGACTGCAAGCTGCATGAAGAAATATCTTCCTTTTGTAGCAGGTTTAAAACAGAGAAAAAGACGTTTTTCTTCATTTAGCGCACAGTCAACCTGTGGAACTTGATAAATTCATGGAGGTTAGGTCCATCAATGACTATTGGTCAGGATGGGTAGCAAAGGTATGAAGGTTTTATCCAACACACACTGAAGCCAATGGAAGCTTTTCCATTTACTGCAGTGCACTTTGAGTCAGGCTTGTTGAGAACATGAAATCTGACATTAAGAGCTAACAGAGTGAGAAGCAAGGAAAGGTAACAGAGTATCTGGATCTTTTGCAATCCCTGAAAGATACTTTGACGGCACATAGACTAGTAAAGTTCACAAAGAATTAGAAATGTACTTGAACTGAAAGGGGAAAAACATTCCCTCTTTTAATGAACTACTAAATACGAGACTTTAAATGCATCAGAATCAGGAAATTGAAAGCACAAGATGTCTGTGACAGCCTTAACAAATGAGTAGAAACAGAATCCATACCAAAACATATGACCTGGTCACTGGTCAACTTAGCCAATATAATATAGAGCCAAACCCAAACATATTTCTACTTGGGCTCTTACCTTAAATCTCTTTAAAGGTAAAGGTAAGGAGCCAGATCCTGAGCTGATATAAAGTGGAATAAGTTAAAAACTCTTAAATCAGTACTTTAATAGTTGGGGAACATTTTTGTGTAAAGTCTTACAAATTACAAATAAAGACGTGGGGAACAACATAGTTGCATAAATATTCGGTCACTTTCCTGAGAGATGCAAATGCATAAAATGGCCTAATTGGTTGCTTTCTATTACAGCTCCTATTTTTTTCAAATTTCCCCATCTATGATTATGAACAAGGTCACTAATACCAAAGTTCTTGTCTTTCTTCATGAGACAAAGAAACACCAAAGCTAGAAATTAAAACATGCATATGAAAAGGGAAGCAGAAAGTTATGTTCATCTTTTCAAGCCCTGTTTCTTGCTAATGTGACTATTTTGGTGCTAGGTTTACAGGATCTTTTACTTTATCAATGTGAAAAATTAACACACACACACACACTTTTCAATTGTCCTGTTTGGATTAAGCATATTTCCCTGTAAGAGGAAACCGCAAGAAAGCTTCAAGAAAAAAACATATTTTTACATTAAACAGACCACTGTAAACTATGATATTTTCCCACCAAATGGACATTTAATACATTATTATACAATATATCCTTTAACTGATCTTAGAATATCATCCACTCTTACCTTGTTCTAACACACAACAGCCAGAACACTTTCAAATGCCGTGTTCCTGTTTTACTGTGATTTAATGTGGGACAGAAAATAAATTAATTCAAGATTCAGTTTCAGAAGAGCCAAAATTGCTAGCAAAAAACCCCCCAATTTCTAAGTGAATCACACTCATGCTGTAGCTATTTGGAGAAAGGGAACTGAAAAACAATGGCAAAGAAAAAGAATCCCTTTAAAAAGATAGAAGGGAGCATTTTGGAATTTCTGAAGTTTGTTTGCTCGCTCAGAAGCAACTGACAATTTCAAATATATTTTCCAAGTCAGCATTTCTGAAATGCCGATAGCAAAGTTGGCAATAACAAATCTCACTTTATTAATATAGCACAACCACCAGATCCAGCAAGGAAGTGTGTGGAGAGGCAGATAATCTGTCTCATATAAGAACTCTAGATCCTTTCTGTAATTAAAACCATTAGGAGCTGTGCTATTTAGAACAAGGCAATTAAAACCACAGTTTTGGACTACAATCTGATTACATTCAATAAACAGCATTTTTGTTAAAGTCGATAAGATTATATTCCCAATGGTCAATTCTCTATTAACTCAGGAGATATGAGTGAACAGCAAAGTTAAGTAAAGGGGGCTACATTTAAACTATGGGTGAGCCCCTCATGCCCGCTTGGGCCCTGGTACCTTGGGCCACTTAGAACTGGAGTTATGCTATGAGGAAGCAGAGGCAGCAAGTGAGTTTGAAAAAACTTCTCCCTTAGTAGCCAACTACCCTACTGAACACGAAGTAAAACATCTCTCTGTCTCGCTCTCTCACCTGCCTAGCATCCAGTATCTTATCCTCCTGATCAACACCTGGCTACAAATGTCTAGAACGGCTCCATAGATAATACAAACTGATCTTCACCAAATGGGTCACAAGGAGACTTTGGGAGTAGGAAATGCAGATCAAACAGCATCAAAAAATGCTTCCCTTAGCAGCTAGAAGGGTCCAGATGTGCCTGTTTCTTCTTCCACTTCAAGCAAAGGAGGAAATCTGAAATACGCAAGAGCCATTTCATTCCATTATTGGTTTGCATCCACCTAGAACCCATGAAACCTTCCTTGGGGCAGAGACTGGTGCATGGGGGAAGCCAATACTGCCCCTTCCATACTGCACCATATTCGTTCACCATCTGCCTTCTCCGGGGCTGTCGATTGGGAATAGTCCACGCTGGGAAACTTTAAACGAACATGTTTGATATTCAAATAAATAAAACACGGTTTTAGAAAAAAATCACCATTAAAAAAGAGGCCATTTTAAACAGACTCATTTCTCTTTCATTTGCACAGCGGGTGAAACCAGTTTACTCACTAAAGCACAGTGGGCCAGATGCTGGGTTGGTATAATTGATTATTGACACTGATGGAATCATGACATTGACACCAGATGTTGATCTAGTCTCATACTTCCAAACACAGGCAGCATTCAGAATACTTTAGGTGGCTTGTCCCATTTCACTGCGAGTTGCATTGTGGGAGAAAATGAAGACAGCAGTTTGGGGTCCAAAACATCAACATTTTGAGAAAAACCATCTTTAACTCAGTAGACAGGATGGGTTTGGGGGCTTTGTCCAGGAAGTAGAACTGAAAGACAAACCCAGCACTCACCTTAGTCTTTGCAGCGCAATGATAAAACTTGCTGCAAGAGAGGTCTCTCTTTTTTGAATTCAGATGGATGGGGGTAGGGGTAATTGGAGGCAGGGTTTCTTTGTTCTACCAACACCTGGGGAGAGAATTCCTCAGAGCTCTGAGACTCAGGTCAGGCACAAAGCATGGCTCATTAAAATAGCAGAGATGTCTCCTGGCAGCAGGAGGTAGTTAACCAGGAGAAAATGGTCGTCAAGTGTTGCTCATGTTCTTGGACATGATGATGCTTCTCCTTCTCTTTCCCCGTTTTATGCAGTCCTGAAATCGGAAAACCCTCCCTAGCAGGGAGCACGTCCGAACACGAGTACACAGGAGACGCACTCCCCGATGTCAATCACCGTGTCGAACTGTGATCGCGGTCTCTCCCAGGCAGTGGGTATCTGCAAGCCGCACGGCGACCAGGCTGGTGGGGTGGGACATTCCGGGTTTTACTGCGCTGTGCGGAGAGGGAAGGAAACGTTTGAAGCAGGAGCAGGGGAGGGTCCAGGACTCCAATAAAATGCCAGGAACTGCACCCTCTCATTCAGAGCCAGACTGGGCCCTTGCCAGAGAGTCTGCACGCATCACTGAGCTGAGCCCTAGCGGGTCCTGATCCGGCAGGATAATGAGGGTGATGCTGCAGCTGGGAAGATATGAGGCCCCTGCAGGCCAGGGTGTGGTCCTCACATTACAGCGGGGACCAGACAGCCCTCTGGAGTAGCCAGCTCTGGGCGGGGCAGGGGAATTCTGTGTGGGAACAGCCCATCCCAAATCACTGCCCTTTCAGCTGCTCCATTGAAGTGGGAGGAGAGTGCCCTTCTCTGGGTGTTACAGCAGATCTGCAGGGCCCCGATTCACAGAGGGGGCATGTTTCCCCTCCCATCATCTCACACAAGCTCCTCCAGGAGCCTAGATCAGCTGGGGGAGGGGATTTGACCGCAGCAGGTGGGGGATCAAGCTGTTACATTGTGTGTGGCCAAAGGAAGGTTAGAAATTCTGGCATAGTTGCTGGTGGCCCCCCAAAAACATCCCATTTAACTTTCCCATCTCAGTTGGCCAGGGAGGCTGCTTGTTGGGGTGGTTGGGTGGTGAGTAGCCGTATTAATCAGGAGGGGTGCACTGGTTGGCAGAGGGGATAGGCTCTCCCATCCAGATCCCAAAAGGCATTCCAGTGCCCTTATACTCGTCCAGCTTAAGTCTGTAAGGAACTGGATTACCCTACACCTATTTAATTCCCCCTGGAATCCAAAATGAGTGTCCAAGTGTCAGTTCCTAAACGGATTTCATAAGAACATAAGAACGGCCGTACTGGGTCAGACCAAAGGTCCATCTAGCCCAGTATCCTGTCTGCTGACAGTGGCCAGCACCAGGTGCCCCAGAGGGGATGAACCGAAGACAAGGATCAAGTGATTTGTCTCCTGCCATCCCTCTCCAGCCTTTGACAAACAGGCCAGGGACACCATTTCTATCCCCTGGCTAGCCTTTTATGGACCTAACCTCCATGAAATTATCTAGCTTCTCTTTAAACTCTGTTATAGTCCTCGCCTTCACAGCCTCCTCTGGCAAGGAGTTCCACAGGGTGATTGTGCGCATGTCACGTTGCTGAATTGGAGGGAAGCAGCCAGATCGCTGCTGCACCCCTAGGTGGGGGTGTTGGCCCCAGAAATTGGT